AGAAGAAGAAGAAGAAGAAGAAGAAGAAGAAGAAGAAGAAGAAGAAGAAGAAGAAACGGAAAAATTGCATCCCACATGGGGAAAACTAAATAAGAGGAACAACTACTGCGAAATTAAAATTGACAAGAGGGACATTCTTTTTGTTCATGTTTCTAACATTGTATTCATTGCTATATGAGACTTTCTCCTACGTTGAGTGATTTATGATTCCTGTTGTTTTATTCGTGGATGAAGACTGTAGTCAGAATGATGAAACGTTTGATTTTATATGTCCATGTCTTTTCCTTCGTCTCCTTGAAATTCACAGTCGTGGTTTGTGCTGCTTTCATCAAGGATCTTCTGTGTAATCGTTAAAAAATATAAGCTATTCAACTCAACAACAAAAACAAAACAGGATCATGTTTCAGAAACTGCAACACGTAGTCCACGATTCATAAAACGTTAGTGTGGTTTGGACAGACCAGCACTGGAAGGAAGAAAATACGCAGACTTACCGAAAATAAAATCAGTAATGATGAAAACAATAATAAGTTACGGATTTTCTACATGAGAATGACAATGCATGTGTCTGCCCATAAGTACGTCCGTTTGAATCAGATGTTCCCCGTGTGGGTTCCCGGGCCCTGTTATAGGGAAAACAACCCACTGCCTACTCAAAGCATGTCGAAGGAGTCGATTAATTTGGAGCCTCCTTCAAAGTCGAAGTGCATCTGCCTGACAGGCAATGAAACAGCAGTCTGCATACAAATGATTCAGATCTGTAAAACGGATGCACTAGCAAACACTAAGGTTCTGGAACAGGACTGCAGTCAGGAGTGGATGAGCAACCAGAACTTTCCGCCAGAGTTCACAGCCGGTGAGCGCGAAATAGAAGAAGAAGAAGAAGAAGAAGAAGAAGAAGAAGAAGAAGAAGAAGAAGAAGAAGAAGAAGAAGAAGAAGTAAAGAAGAGGAAGAGGAAGAAGAAGAAGAAGAAAGAAGAAGAAGAAGAAGAAGAAAAGATGTGGTTACATATGCTACTAAAGAACACCTTTCGAATTAACATAGAGACGGTTTTTGCACACCTTTATGCCTATTGAGCATATAGAGCTAGACATGCATTTTATAGACCAATCGGTGTTAGTTGGGCGATGTGGTCAACATCACGCCGGTCGCCTTTACTTCCCATAACTTTTACCAGGTACTCATTTAGGGCTGGGACGTCCAAGGAGCAAAAGTCTTTTTTTTTTAAGTAAAAAATAAATCCAGCACCTCCAGTTTTGGACCTACGGCCTTTGGGACCGCAAGCAAGCATCAATCCGCTACACCACGGCGTCTCCCATTCATAAGTTAGTCATCCTAAACCTAGAAACCTGGAAATTTCATAGAATACAAAGACGTCCTTTGTGAATCCGATCACGTCTCTCATCAAATACCGTAGTTTACAATGCTTAGCCGCTCCTCTTCGACCTTGGGAGTAGAGGTTTGTAAGAGAAATCGTCAGACTCCTTTATCAAAATTATTCTTGTTGGCTTTGTCCTCGAACAGTCAAAGGCTGTCGAATGTTGTCTTCCCAGTGGACCCTGTGTCGTTCTGGTGATCTAGTTTCCTGGTTCTTCGCTTCCCATCACTGTCGTGGTGACAGACTTTCTCTCATTCTGCAAACATGTCCATCGTACGTGTGACTGATCCACTCGAGTTTGTAAAGGTCGGTTTTAAGGCCACGACCTATTGTCTGATTGCGAACTTTTTATTTCCTTCTTGCCACTTAAACTACTTTTCTCAGATAACTTATTTTTGAGGCCTGAAGCTGGCTTATGTGGGCTGTTTTCAATGCCAATGACTCCCACCCGTATGTCAGGACTGGCATTTAGATAGAGCTGTATGCAGCCATTTTAGCCCTGGTCGATTACCTAATGGTACATAAATATAAGGATCTAACTCCATATCCTCGTTTTCCTGATTGCTTTACCTTTATTTATAATACGCAGCATCACTGCGTGGAAAATCACGAAATAAGACGAATGCTAGGAATAAAGCCAGTCTTACAGGTCTTCAAAGAACAACAAATGAAGTGGTTTGGACACCTAACAAGAATGCTATCTGGTACTATTTACCACAGCGAGCCACACTGAAACGTTACAACGGGTATAGAGCGAGCGGAAGACCTCGGAAACTATGGAGTGATGGCATTAAGAACAACCTTACAGAAATTAACATCAATCTTAATAGTGCAGTTGACAGAGCTCCGGCGTCCGTGGCTAAGGCGTTGCGAGTCCGACTCGTAATCCAACGTACCGCGATCGAAACCCACAGCGGGCTGCGTGGATTTTTATCGTGGTATGGGACGTCGCAGGTCGACCCAGCCTCAAATGGGTACCAGGATGGTTGTCCTGGGGAAGTAAAGACGGCCGGCGTAATGCTGACCACATTACCCACCGAGTGCCGATTGATCTATAAAATTATGGGTGCTTTTCCCATATGCCCGATGCGCCTAAAGGCGTGAAACGGGATCTTTTCTTTACTTTACTTTTACTGACAGAGCTCACCACGGAACGTTACATCTCCCCACGACACTTCGCTGAGGTACAAGGTGGAAGAAAAGACATAGAAGACTAGGTGGACATGCTACTTACCCAGGCCAGTTGTGAACTTTCGGCTGCTCACATTGGAAAGCGAAGCCCAAGAGCTGACAGGCGAAGGCGATTGTGACCACAACGATAACAAACTTCAAGGCTTTCATTGCCGTCATCGTCATCCGTTTAGACAGATAGCCCCCGACGAAAGTGCCCAGAGTGCCGGCACATAACACTTGTCCCGCTGAGGAAAAGGGGGGGGGGGGTATAATATCGTTTGTCTTTAATGCAGTGTTAGTTTAATCAGTTATTCCATCATAAACGACAATGTCGTTTAATGATAAAAATAACAACAACTGTCACCAATATCATTTTCATCAAGTACCATTATCACAGTCGTCATCATTATCTCCTCCTTTTCCTCCTCATTACAGTCTTCATCATCGTCTCCTCCTCATTGTCATAATCATAGTCTTCATCATCCTCTCCTCTTCATCATCACAGCCTTCACCATCCTCTCCTCCTCCTCCTCCTCCTCATTATTATCATCATAATCTTCATCATCCTCTCCTCGTCATCATCATAGTCTTCACCATTCTCTTCTCTCCTCCTCATCATCGCAATAGTTTTCATCATCCTCTCCTCGTCATCATCGTCATAATCAACAGGAACCTGTGGGCTCAGACACCTTTAGCGCCCTCAGCCCTGTCTAGAAAGTTTGTAAATAGCATTGGCTCAATACGCCTACAGGCGTGGAAAAGGGTTTTCAGGCCCTCTTTTCTCCTTAGTTTCTCGGTGTCAGTGAAATAAAAGTTAAAAGGTTAAGTACGTATCCTTTACAGGATGTGGTAGAACCAACTCCAGCATATTTCGGCAGTTGTAGTTTTTCTAGGCAAATTGTACGTTCTAGTTTGTCATTGCTCCCTGAACGGTCAGCTCTCAGTACCATTGTCAAAACTAGCGCGAGACAAATCGTCCTCAGCAGCGATCTAACCCGGCACCCAATCATTACGAAGCGCGTTCGCAGCTTCTAAGCCACAGACGATCAGTAAAGTAGAAATACCCCTTTCCACGCCTTTATGTGTATCAGGAATATAGGGCTGGACCTATATTTTATAGACCAATCGGCACTCAGCATCCCTCTGGCTACCTTTACTTCCTAGGACTTGAGCTGGTACCCACTGGTCTGTGTCGGCCTAGGAGCCAAGGTCATTTTTTAAGGAAGAAAAACAAAAGCCTGGCTCTATTCGGATTCTAACCCACGACTTTCGGATTCCCAGGCGAGTCGCCTAGCCGCCACACAATGGTGTCGGTGTGTTTGCCTATATTTACCAGAAGATATCCTGGTTCAAGCTGTAATCTGGGTCAACCGTTTATATTTATCCCAAAGCTCCTCTGGCCGCTGCTCGTGTACGAAGTGAGCATGACTGCAGTGGAAACAATGGAGAGAAAGAAATCAACACAGCCAAGAGAAAATGGCTTGGGACACCGCCTTGTCTCACCAATGTTGCTCTGTATTGTAAGCAGGCTAAGCTGGTACTTCCGTTCAAGTCAATAACCGAAGTGTTTAAAGTCGGCAAGGTAAGACTCGCGATGATGCTGCGCGAGTTTTAGACTCCATTTTAGCAGCTGTCCAGCCAGCTCTTAAAGACAGGTAAGAAATGGAAAAGTCCTAAATGCGATAGAATCTGCTCAATAAGCATTGAAATTGAAAGAAGTCATGGGTTACACACAAACTGACCGACGCGACCTAGGGCATGGGAAAGTCAGTTGGTGGTCCAAAGCCACGTCCAAAGAGCGCAAAGACATGGTGATATAGCAGATAAGGGACACGAAAACGAGACTCGGGTCTAAAAAGCCGCGCAGCAAGGCCAGTGGATCGGCCTCGAGAACGCCTTGCCACGAATACTCACATGGAGTGAGATCTGGCCCTGCTGCAGCTGAGCTTTGTCGTAAGATCTGCGTTCAAAGTGTTACCATCTGGCGTCAACCGACCCGACATTCCCACTTTGCAGAGTTAAACAACCGCTCTAGCACGTATTGTCCGCGTGCAGAAAAGTCCTAGGTCAGGGAAGATATACTTGGCGCCACAATAAAATCCTGAAAGAGTTAGCGGACGTTGTGAACCAAGCTAGGATGAATGCCAAGGCAAGGGCCAGTCCTACCGTCGCCCTCATGCGCTTCCTCAAGGCTGGGCAGATATATAAAGATAAAATCAACAAGGTCGCATACGCTCTTTCAAGCCTTGACTGTGTGAGGGACTGGTTACTGGCCGTCGACCTGCCTGGTGTCGAAAGGTATCCAGAGTCAATCAGGAAGACCGGCCTGTGACTTGACATAGTTCTGCACTCTGTGGAAAAACGCCAGCTCGTCCTGAATGAGCTGACCGTTCCGTACAAGTCGCAGATGGACGAAAATCACATGTGCAAGCTCGAAAAGTACGGTGAGCTCGTGGTCGGTCTGAGGAGAAACGAAGCGTACACAGTAAAAATCTTCGCCGTGGAGGTAGGCGCAAGAGGTCATATCTTCACTTCCATGTACAGTGTGCTAAAGCAAATTGGCTTGCGAGGAAACGAGCTTAAACGGTCACTAAAACAAATGGGCGAGGCTGCTGAAAGAGCTTCGAGCTGGCTCTAGACGCAACGGAACGTTGTGAGGGATGGGTCTCGGTAGACTGGTCTGAGTCCATAGTGAAAAGAGCTTCTTATTCCTTAAAGCCAAAGCGTAAGATAAATGTCTGCCGGGGTCTCTGCCAGATGCCAAAATCTAACAAATGTCTGATGAACCAACAATAAGCTTGTCACTCTTGTCGTGAAGTTAGTCGATTAATTTGCTGCCGTAGCGACAATATAACACCAAACCTCACAGCACCTGTTGCAGAGTCACCAAACTGACTTGTACTTGTCGAGTCCGATGAAATGCAGCAGGGGAAGATCGAGGCCTGGCTTCATGACCTAGGTCGGCCCACCTTCCGAGATTGTCAAGGGAAGTAATGGGTCAAAACAATCATCGACGAAGGATCTCTCTATTGATGATCGGTGGACTCCTGCTATGAATGCTCCCCTGTTGTGTTCTTCATATTATTTTTGTAATCTGGGTCAACCGGGAAGCCGAAGCAATTTATTTTTAGTCTACCCCACGGTGGTCGGCGTCTGTGCCTTACAAGTTGCGAACCCTGTTTGTAGTTCCATCCCAGTTGCAGGCCATTTGGTGACAGACCGCTCTGCTTTGATATAAACAATGGTATCGACAGTCGAGCGGTTGTGGTGTAGCGGCTAGACCCTGGCTTGCAGATCCGAACGTCGTGGGTTCAAATCAACATTGTGCTGGATTTTCTTTTTTCAGACATGACACTGATTCCTAGATCGACCCAACCTTAAATGGGTACCAGGTAAAGTCCTGTAAAAATCTATGTAAAAGAAGAAGTTCTGGAATGTAAGGTCTGCCGGTGTGATGTTGACCACATCACCCACTGGTCTATAAAAAAATGTGTGTTTAGCCTCATATGTCAAATATGCCACTAGCGATTTTTTTTAGCCTACAGGTGACTGTTCGAGGCAATGGCGTTTATGAGCGTTCATTGTGAGGTTGGTTGACATGGGGGTACCACCTGGGTTATCCGGACATGAACATTACATCAAGGGCACAAGGCGTCTAATAAATCAACAAAGAACGGATGTGATCAGTTGTTTGACCCTTGTGGAGTTACTGAGGAGAAAATCAGAGCATTTTGGATCTGTCCCGAGAGCTGTAATTCTAGTCCTAACTAATCAATAATCACTAGCCTACAGATAACCGATTACCTATGATATAGTTAGCAGTGTGCGCCGGCAGGTGGAACATCCTCTCCAAATATTTGGGGATGTAGGATGAAGTTCCTCCCATTGTGAAGACTAGGAAGCAGCTGGAGATCACCAAGCACATGTAGACAGGGTTGATCAGCAGGCCACAAATGGTTGTCAGGAAATCTGCGTGGTAAAAGAATCAATCAATTACTATAATTACTATAGCTGCCGCTACAACACCAATAACTAAATCATACACATTCTTTTTTTTTATTCTTCTTCTTCTTCTCCTTCATCTTCTTCGTCTCCTTCATCTTCTTCTTCTTCTTCTTCTTCTTCTTCTTCTTCTTCTTCTTCTTCTTCTTCTTCTCTTCCACTTTGTACCTCATCAAAGTGTCGGGGGAGATGTAACATTAGTTGATGAGCTCTATGAAGAGCACTATTAGGACTGATGTTTATTTCTTAATGTCATCACTCCATCTTTTCCAAAGTCTTGATGATTGGTACCTTTCCGACTTTCCAGACAATAGTATTATTCCGGTCTGCAAGGTGTGGACTGTGCCTGGCTCTGCATCCAGCAGGGTTGGGGTCGGCTAGCTTCTCTTAGGAGAGGTGAAAAGTGAAAATTAGTAGCCTGCCGATGACCCACAGTACACATAAGTCAACCTCTCCTCCCAGTGGTGCAGACTGGGAAACTGTGGCCGTGAGGCCACAGGCGAACGAGGCTCTGGCTTGCCAGATGGGATGGGGTCCATCTGGTCAGATTTTCCCTTAAACTGCGACTGGCCTAGCAAGCCGGCAGTGGATTTTTTATTGCTACGAAAATTAGAAAGGAGATAAATAAACGGACAGCCCCAAACGGAAAATGGACTGGAAACGTTAAAGGACGACGAGACAGAAAAACGACTTACATAGGCACATGGAACATATGTGGTATTGCCAACAAAGAGCCACAAATAGTGGATTTCATGAAAAGAAAAAATATACACGTCATGGGTCTTGCGGATACAAGAAAGAAAGGATATAATACAAAAGAAATACATGAAAATTATGTTTTATTATGGAGCGGAGTACCCACTAAAGATAGGGCAAAACATGGTGTCGGATTTATACTTCATCCCGAGACAGCAAAATTAATAACAGGAACAGAATTTATATCAGAAAGAATTATTTTAATCAAGTTGACAGAAGGAAGTAAAACTACAACGATTATTCAGATATATGCACCTTGCAACGATAGTTATTCTGAAGAAGAAAAAGAAGACTTTTACGAGAGACTTACGGACACCATCAATAATGTTAAAGAGAAAGAGGACATCATAGTAATGGGAGATTTTAATGGTAGGGTAGGTAAAAGAAGATCACCATGGGAGAGATACCTTGGCCCATTCAGCGATACAACCACAGATTGCAATAGAAATGGAGAACACCTGTTAAACTTGTGTGCTGAACAAGATCTCTACATTACCAACACATTCTACCAACATCGCCAAAGTCAGGTTAAAACGTGGTACAAGTGGAACAACTTAGATCAAGCGTCACAAATTGATTTTATACTAGTCAGACAACGGCAGAAGAGGACGGTAAGAGACTCAAAAGCTGTCCCAAATGCGGGACTGGATTCAAACCATCGCCCAGTAGTTATGAACATATGCAACTCAAGTAGAAACAGTCTACATAAACAGAAACGTGAAGAAATCATCAACACTAAGAAATTAGAGGAAGAGAATATCAAACATGAATTTGAACTAGAAATAACAAAGGCTTTTGCAGATATTGCCAAGGAACCAGTAAGAATTGAAGAAGAATGGGATTATTATAAATCAACCATCACGAAGATATTAAAAGACAAGTGTGGTACCAGAAAGACGGGCAAAGGCAAGAAAAAGGGTACCGCTTGGTGGAATGAAGAAGTCAAAGAAGCAGTGTCAAATAAAAAGAAGATGTTTCAAATATGGTTAAAAACAAAAGACGAAAAGGATTACATTAGGTACAGACTAACTCGAAGAGACACCAAGAGAACAATAAAGAAATCCAAAGAGGAATCATGGAAAAAGTATGGTGAACACGTAACACAGCTATGTACAGAATCACCAAGAGACTTTTATAAGAGTGTGAAAGCGATGCGATTAAGAGAAGAAAGCTTCAATCCAACATCAGTCATAAACGATAAAAATGGAAAACCATTATTCAGCCAAAAAGAAATTAAAAAAAGATGGGAGGAATATTTTAAAGAACTTTTGAACCCGTCGGGAGTACATGAAACAGCAGAATTCCATTCAAGGGCTCCAGATCATCTAGAACCACAAATCCTGCGGGCTGAAGTAGAGAAAGTTATCAAAACAAGTAAAAGACACAAAGCAGCTGGTATTGACGGAATAACAACAGAAGTCATCCAGGCTGGAGGGGACACTATGATCACCTGGCTGGAGAGAATTTTCAATAGAGCATGGGCAGAGAGAAAGGTACCAGTGGATTGGCAAAGATCAGTTGTAGTACCTATCTGGAAGAAAAAAGGAAACAAGCGAGAATGTGGAACTTATAGAGGAATATCTTTACTAAGTCATGTGGGGAAAATGTATGCAAAGATCTTAGAAGGTAGGATAAGAGCAAAGGTTGAACCTCTACTGAGTAAAGCACAATTCGGTTTCAGGAAAGGGCGAGGTTGCACTGATGCCATATTTGCACTAAGACAAGTCTGTGAAAAGACACTCGAATACGATAAAGAGCTGAACGTGGTCTTTGTAGATCAAGAGAAGGCATTCGACCGTGTAGACAGAGATGTGCTGTGGAGAATTCTTGACGATTACGGAGTGCAGGGTCAATTATTAGACAACATCAGAGCCCTCTATGAAAAAAGTGAAAGTGCAGTAAGAACATCTAGTGGTCTTTCTGAATGGTTCAAAGTCACAACTGGTGTCAGACAAGGATGTGTACTGTCACCATTACTTTTCATAACATACATGGATAAGATCACTGTAGAAGCAAACCCACACGTGTATGCTATAAACGAATTACTTTTTGCTGATGATCAAAGCATACTGTATCAAAATGAATATGATCTACAGGAACATCTGACTACTCTCAACAACAGCTGTTTACAACATAATATGAGAATCAGTACAGAAAAAACAGAAGTTATGAAGATCAGCAGAACACACAGGCCACTGAATATAAATGTTGGAAGTGCCAAAATCAAGCAAACCAAAGAGTTCAAATACTTGGGCAGTATATTTACAGAGGATGGAAGAATGGACAGAGAGATAGAAACAAGAATACAGAAAGCAAATGCTGTCACATACCAACTATCACCTCTGCTTAAACATCCAGATATAACCATGAAGACAAAAAGACAATTGATAAACACCATCTTCATTCCAACACTCTGCTACCAGTGCCAAACATGGACAATCAACAAGACCCATGAAAGAAAATAGAAGCCTGTGAAATGAAATGTCTAAGAAAAGCAGCGAATAAGACCAGACTAGACAGGATAAAGAATATAGACATTAGAAACACTGTCAAAACTACGCCATGTTTAGACTACATAGAACATCAAAGAATGAAATGGTTTGGACATCTAACCAGGATGAAAAATGATCAAATAACATCACAAATTTTCAACCAAAGAAGCTCAGGATATAAGGCAAGAGGAAGACCAAGGAAACGGTGGATTGACGGGGTCTCCGAAACCTGCCAAAAGCATGGCCTCAGAACATCAGATGCTGCCCGCCTTGCTTATGACAGGAACTTGCATCTCCCCACAACGCTTAGCGGCATACGTGGAAGGAAAAAGTAAAAAAGTAAAGTAAGTATTATTCCGAGATTTTATGTTCATCGGAGGATGTAAGTGTCCACGGTTGGCACTGATAGCATAACGTTGGCCAAAAATATAGTTCTGATAAGATTTACTTTAGTACTCCAGGGTATCTGCTTATGTGTCAACAGGGAACCTAGTTGCCCCATTACTTGATTAGCTTTGGCACATCTCGAGCTTTTCCGTCGGATGTGAAAATTGATCCAAAATACTTTAATTCCTCTGTTTGTCTTAAAGTGTTGTTTTTTTATTTTATTTCTGAATTGTCTATTTGGCTTCCTATCACTATTGTCTCTGTCTTCTAGGTGTTTATTTTCATATTATATTCTCCCTTTGTTCCTAATCTGATTTAGGTGGTTATGTAGGCAATCCGTATGATTAAAGTTCCTTTCCTTACATATAGTATGTTATAAAAAGAGGCGGCGATAGTACACAACCCTGACGCACATAAGAGTTCACTATAAAAGTTCTTGACAATTCTGCCTTCGATTTTATGTAGCATTTACTACGTTTGTACAGGCTTTTGCAAATATTAATGAAATGATTGCTGATCCCCCCCCCCCCCCCCCCCCATAGATTCCCACAACATATTCCTGTCGACTATATTAAAGGAATGTCAACAAACATGTCTTATTGCGTTCTATTGCTCTCTCTCTCTCTCTCTCTCTCTCTCTCTCTCTCCCTCTCTCTCTCTCTCTCTCTTAGTTGTCTCAATGTATAAATGACATCTGTCCCTGGGGCTGGCTGGAACATTATTTCAGTTTTGTCAGAGATAAGCCCAAAGTTTGTACAGACTTCGGATAATTTAATGACACTATGTTGTAGTTCAGGAGCTGAACTGGCACATGTAGCACAGTCATCAGCGAAAAGTCATTCTCTAATGGTGTCAGACTTAACCTTGACTTTAGCACTTGTCTCCTGAGATTAAACAGACCGCCGTCAGTCCAATAGCTGATATCGATACCAGCATCCCCATCTCTGAAGGCATCAATCAATCAGCATAGCGGAGAGTATGATGCTGAACAGTGTTGGTGCAAGCATACACCGTTTGAGACTTTAAAAGGCTCTGGGAGCTGTCCATTTTCCTGAATTCTTGCTTCACTAATGTTATAAACTTTTGTGGGCATCCAAATTTTGCCACGATTTTCCGCAGACCATCTCTATTGACTGTGTCGAAGGCCTTAGTCAGGTCCATGAAATCATAGAACAAATCAACATTTTGCTCTTGACTTTTTTCCTAAAGCTGCCTTGCTGCAAATATCATGTCACTGGTGTCTCGGTCTTTCCGGAAGCCACCGTGACTCTCAGGCAGAAGACCTTGATCAAGGTGTTCTGTAAGGCGAGTCAGGATGATTCTGGCTAGTGA